TCTATGCACACAACTTCCAGGAGGAGGGCCTCCCATGTTTTAGCACAATAACCTAGTGGTTAGGGCATGGGGACTAGGAATCCCAGATTCTAGATGCTCTTCACTCTCTAACTGCAAGGCCACAGAATAGACGATGCAGACACATCTCCAAGGCTCCTCTTGAAGCTGGCCCAACGCACCTTGCATTCAACTATTGGATAAAATGGATGAAGAGCAGTGGGGAAGTTATTGCACCATTGTAACCAAGGACCTAGGGCCCCTCCATCCAGGACAGCAGCCACTTTACTGAGCCCCACAAACTATAACTTGAACTCTTCCTCCTGGCCCCATGTGTGTGCCTTTTTATTGGCTCTTGCGCTATGTCACAAAGTACTTGCTCAGGTGCAGAGCAGTCCTACTGGGCATGCTCAGTGGGTGCATGCAAGTTTGCATGCTCAGAACTGAATCACAAACTGGGCAAAAGTGCTAAAACCTGCAGTTAGATGGCTGCGTACATACCATATAGGATTCTAATTTGTGAAATAGGATTTAGCCCTAAATATTCCACTGCACTTTTACAGGACTATGGATAAACAATGTAGGTAGCTAAGTTCTGCCTGCCAACATTCCTAAGTAGTTTGAGGTGGATGGACAAAAACTGTGTATGACGCGGTCCCAGTCTAGCTTAAGTACCACTCTAGCCTAAGTACTTCCAAGACACCCCTAACTGGGATATATATATATCAGTTTATGATAAGTATCTAATGTAGCTTCAGATCAATGCATGCAACAGAGAGTGTGAGGCATTGTTATACAGCATACAATGTGGAATTTGGTGCCCTCCATGCAGCATCTGAGAAAGGAAAGGGTTGTGTTTCAAGGGATTAGACACTAGCTATAATGGGCTTCCTCTAGGTCACCAACCCAAATCTAGCCTCGGACTGATCAAAAGTAGGCACCAGCCAACAACTGTACAGTAAAATATGGAAGATAAATTAGCAATGAACAGATACTCATGTTACAAAGACCAGTGTAACAGTCAGAAGTGACAGCCCCTTGAGGTAGTCTTTGCCTAAAGGAGTCCTTTCTACTTTGAATGGTTCCCTCAAGAGAGGTGAAACACATTATCATGTTGGTGTGGGGAAGTTTTTGCAGTACAAGCTGTACCTGCTCTACAGATGTGAGAAGACTTGGCTCTGTAGGGATATCAGTAGAACACTTTTTACAAGAATACAAAACATATGAAAAAAGTATTTTTTTTCTTTCTTTTTAAGGGGGAATTTTCTGCTGAAGCATTGAGTTCCATTTGACTGGGTTAGGCGTCCTGTGTGGTTTCACTGTTATGAGAACAGAACAAGTTTAGCAGTCTGAAGCAAATTACTATGCATGTCTGTGTTCACACACCTTATATCAAGGGCGATTTATTAAAATGCACTTCAGAAGGAATCAGATCGTGATTTAACAAACTATTCATCATGACAATATTTTTAAATGGCACTGTACCTCAGCTATGTTCATATTTAAAATGCAGTCTTTTTATCACGGATTAATCACTTGCCTAATTTCATACACTACTTTTCAAATATACAAGAATTGTAAAGCTGAATCAGACCTGTGGCCAGTTTAGATTAGTATTTTGTCTCTGCTTTGGAGAACTGTACAAGAGCAGAGGTGGGATAACTACCCCAGCACCACGCGCTTCCTCCTAACACCTGTAACTAGTGATTTGTTTAAATCCTGATGCTTGAGGTTTTATAACCTTCCCAGAACTCTTGGGTTTTAGTAGCATTTCTTGATATTTGTGTTTCAGTTTAAAGGTCCATCTGGCTGAATTCTCTGTTTCAGTGATATCTTGTGACAACAACTTCCACAATCTTATTATAACAAGACACAGAACAAGTATTGCATTTCTGTAATTCCCAATCTTGTCCACATAATAACCCCCTGCTGTACATATAAGCAGGAACTGAACCTCAGCTCTTGAGCACTAAATGAAGAAGTCTTGAACACTTGAAATATCCTGAAGCCAGAGGCAAGCTGACAGTTACTAGAGGAAGAGACATGCACTAATGTAATGTATTATATATAAATTGGATATGGCAAATGTGCAAATGGCATTGGTTCAACCCTTCACTGATGAGTTTAAATCTATAGAGGAAATTTGTGGCTAGGTTTAAAATAAAAGCTTCCTAGAAATCTCCACTCCTGCAAACAATCTTTATGACATATGCTTCACTATGGCTGCCTGGGCTAAACCAATGCATCCTAAGTTACATTTTATTTGACAGAGTATGATCAGAACCAACACTCCTGTGTCATAAAAAAGAAACAGATGTTCTGTGGATATTTTAAATCAGGACTAAAAATAGTTTCTGGTTATTGGATTAGTGTTTGGGGTGTGAGTAGGAGTAGCGTGATTACAAACTATTTCTATGTGTTCTCATTGTAAAAGGAAAAAAAGGCAAATAAAACTTCTAGAGTCACTTGAGGATGCTGAACCCTGTCATGTGACAGGGGTAAGGGACTTTATAATCTTGTTCCCTACCACAAGTCTGGGTTCAGGTTCAGCCCAGTATTGCTGGAGGTCACACCTGTATGAAGGAACAGCAGAGCCAAATATTGCTTTCAGGTACATTGGTACAACTTTTTTAGGGGTGTTGGTTGTAGCCATGTTGGTCTAAGGATATAGGCACACAAGGTTCTTTGGGTAAATGTGATATCTCTTATTAGACCAACTGTTTGCACCTGAAAGACTGCAAAGAACAATTTTACCAACTATTTAGTTGGTAAAACTCCTGTGATTTTCAACAGAATTACACTGTTGTAAATTGAGAGTAAAATGATCCAGAGTGCAGAAAGGATTAATGAAACACACCTAAAGTATCCTATTGATACACTGGGTGTAACATGCATAAAATACTCAAAAACAGAACAGATGCCTAATTTTCAATGGATATTTTTCCCATGAAAGTTACAAGCTTATTTTCTACCCTTGTTTTCCATATCTATCCAACACATTTACATGTATGTGCATCTCTACACACATGCACACACTACATATTATATGGAACCAATTCTCCATGAGTTGCAATTGCAGCAGGCGGCTCCCTGATCTGATGCTGCCAACTCCAGCACAAGATAGAGTGGCAAGTAATAGCCAGAGTGATGTTCAAGAGGCAACAGGTTCAAGAGGCACCCTTTTATCTTTCTGGTGGAGAATTCTCCTTCACATGAAGTACTGTCATAGTAGCTGTGTCCACATGCTTTAAATGTATTTGGCAGTTCCTTTCATATTGTGGTGCAAAGTGGAGATAGTGGATGAGAAAATGCATCCTTCTGCCATTAGAAGTGTTTGGGCCAGCTGCTCGCTGTATCTCCCAGGTTTTGGTGGAACTCTGTCCATTTACCCTAGCTGAAGTTCTTGCTCATATTGCCTAGGCACATAAAGTTTTTCAAAGCTAGTCATATGGAGTCTGTCAAAGGCGTTTGACAATATATCTAAAGTCTTAAAAAATGTAAAATACAATTGCTGTAGGATAGCTTTTCAAATGAAGATTGAGTGACACTTTCTTTGTATTTTTAAGCTTCCAGACTAAAACCTTGCTTCCAGTGTAAGGGAAAAAAAGGAATAGGGAAAAAAGAAAGAAGAAAGACTCCTGCATGGTTCGGGATAATGCATGCTGATACAAGTGCATACTCAGACTACAGTTCTTGACTACAAGTGGCTCATTAACATACCACCTGCAGCTCTTCACAGACAGTCTTGCAGAGGTGTTGTTTTCTGTACTGCATGCACTGGGCATGTTGTTTTTGTGCAACTGTGAATAATGCCACATGCTGTGTAAGAATATTAAATAATGTGCTGCTGTTCTTCTGCTGCACTGCACTGTCCACCACAGTTCACCTGAAAGTGTAGACGTTTGCTGCGGCTCTTTCATTAACAGCGACTGCTCATATGTCTGCAGCCAGTCAGGACTTAATCTCACTGCTATTAGAAGGCGCAGTTTGATAGAACAGAAAGAATCATCCTGTGAGCAAGTGCGGTCATAGCTCTGAGTTACAGACTAGAACCTACTGGATAGGTGTTGCCAATGGCAAAAGTCACTGTTACAATGAGAACTAGTCTAGGCATCTCAGAAACATGCCACACTCACAGTAAATCCCAGAGTGAACCCCATGTATTCATGTGGGTGTTTTCACCCAGCTCACACAGCCACAGCCAGGGCCAGATTAACACATAGGCAAACTAGGCAGATGTCTAGAGGGGCCCAGTTGTGATTATTTTACGTATTATAGTTATTGAGTGAAAAAAATAGTATCTATACAGTAGTAAGTAAAGACTCACAAGCTTGTTTGCCTAGGGCCAGCACCATACTTAGACTCCTGGCAGCCCCAGGTAAACTTTTAGTAACCCCCCTCTCCCCTTTGCCAGAGCTAATGATAATAATAATCATTATTTTCACCATTTTCAGCCCCCTTTCTGTCCAGGCCCTGGGCACCTGCCCGGTTTGCCCATGCCTGTGTCTGGCCCTGCCTAGGGCCCACTAAAGGGTTTACCTGGCCCTGGCCACAGCCTCTTCCGTGCAGCACCCTGCTCCTGACATGTAGATGTCTGGTTTTGCAAAAGGGGCCGGGAATTGTGCTGAAACACAGAGCCAGGCAAGTCAAGCAGCTTCCAGAAACACACGGCGCAGCACATCCATCCGGAGACCTCCCAGCCTGCTCGTCATGCTTAGTCCCGGGCTTGTGTTTGACTTCATTGTGCTTTACCGCGGCGGCCCGGCGCTGCAACTGCGATGGCGAATGTCAGCGAGATTTCCCAGCGGCTGACCGTGCCCTTGAGCGCGGCGGGGGGAGCCGGGCACCCCCGGGCTGGGCTGCTCGCGCCGCGCCGGGCCCAGTGCCCGCGTTCTCTCTCGGAGCGGGCCCGGGGTTGCCGGGGCAACGCGGAACGCGGCCGGGCCCCGCGTGCAAACGGCGTTGACCCGCACTGCGCAAGCTCCCTGCCCTGCTGAGGGGGGGGAGTCACTGCCGCGCACGTGGCGGAGGTACTGCAAGCGGGGTGCTGCGCGGCTCCCAGGCGGGAGGCCCTGGCCATGCTGAGGGATGAGGGGGATTCCAGGTCCTTCTTGCAGCTGGAAAACAGGAGGAGGAATGTTTTCGTGACCCAGCTCGGGGAGCACAGGTAAGGGAGCGCACTGGCACCCACGTTGTATGCCCTCCAGTCTGAAGTCCAAAAAGGGTGTCTGAGGTGAAGGTGCCTGTGAGAGCTGATTGTCAGAACCGGGATTCTCCCGCCCCGCCTGTTGCTAGGGAGTTCAGGGCTAGGAAATGAACGGGGTGCTTTAAGAGAAACCCGTCGGAGTAACTCCCAGGCTTCTGCTTGTGCAATGAACTGCATTCAGCCGGGACTTCCAGAAGCTGAGAAAGTCCTCGGGAGGATGCTTTGAAGGCAGATGGGTTGGTCAGACTGAAGCTGCCTTTCTCAACCCTAAAACATTCTTTGCTGCCCCTTAGCAGATCTCTGCATTTACTGCGTTTGGATCTGTGCTGCAGAAGTCAGTACGCTGGGTTGCCAGCTAAACTCATAAGTTATAGAAGATAATATGGAGCCTATCAAAAAGCCTACCATGCATAATGTGACACAAATGCACAACTGGTTGACTCTGCCCTGGAAAAGTCTAAGGCAGAGCTGGGAACTGGCATACATGCAGCTGCTGCATATGGATGCGTCTCCCAAAGCCTGCTGTCCAACTCTTTGTAACGTGCCCATCATTGTGGTATCTGCCATCATAGTGTAGTTTTGACATACCTGCTTTATCTTAGCAATCTTTGTTCCATAACCCCCTACCTACCATATCTCTGACTTACTGGCTATCTGAAAGAGCATAAAAGGTCAAGGATACATGGGCCTTCTCATATTTTTGGCAGCGATTTCTTTCTTACAACAAACCCTTTCAAAATAATTACAACATGCCAGACATGCCTATTAGTTCTAGTTCAGGGCCATGTCTATTACTCTGTACTCAGAGATTCCAGTCCCAGTAAAACAGGGCTCAAGATGTCTAAGATTTATGACCCCAAACAGAACAACATGGAAAATGAAACTTGTGGCACTTATAGTAGGATTAATTCTGTAATAGAAACCTTCATTTTCAGCCCAAATCTGTCTGACTCATTCTGGCCATGGGAAAGTCACTTAACTGGGCCATGTCTCATTTTTTCTGCCTGTAAAACGAGAGTCCTATCCATCTATCCAACCAACTGGATGGATTCAAGGAGCTAAT